GCCTTCAAGGAAAAAAGCATCACTCCAACCAAACACAGCTGGCCTCTGTTACAAAACAGTAACCTGATATCTCTACCAAACCTATTTTTATCCCTTGCCACAGATCATGCTGCATTTTTTTGAAAAACGTCACTTACTTTCCGTTTCATTTCGTTTGATCATGCCTTGACATTCTGCTAAAATTGTCTCTTTAAAAGATGTCACCAGGGCATTCACACAGCACTCCATAAGCTGAAAATGCATTAAATAAATAGTTAGCTCATTACAGCTTTTAGAGGCAGAATAAACTATGGAGTTCAAAGTTCACTGTAACATTAAAACTACTGTCTATATCAGGGGTGTCCAACCTTTTTGAATGTGGGGCCAGATCATAAACTTTTTATCACCCAGGGGGCCAGCAAGCCATATTCAAAGACCTCACAGGAAGCGGTGAAATTCAGCAGGTGAAATTCTATGGCCTGTGTTACACCAGACGTCAGACTGGATGAGACAGAATCTTACAAGGGTACCACAGAACTTCCCGTCGCTTCCACCTTTAATGGGGTCCTTTCGAGTTAGAAGAACAAAGCTTCTTATGGATGCACAGGAGGAGCTGGGCGAGGGCCATGATGCTGCGACCCACACGTGCCGGGCTCTACAGGTGGAGTAGCCAGGGGGCAGGGACCCAGGCCACCCAAGCCCTGCCGTGCCTTGCAAGCCCGCACGGCGGCTCCCAGCCCAGAGCCAGCAAAAAATAAAAGGGGCTTCCTCTGCCGGGGAGGGAGGAGGAGGAAGTGGCAGCGAGCCCGGGCCAGTGCCGTTCGCTCACACGGGGACATGCGAGCCAGGCACAAGGCAGCACCCAGGCAGCCCCCGGCTGCAACTTCTCCACCCGCCGCCGGGAAGATGAACCACGCAGGTGAGCGTGGAGCGGGGCAGGTGCGGGGGCCCTGGGATGATGCCTCCTTCTCCCCAGCCACAGCCCCGAGGGGCAGAACCAGGTGCAAGCGGTGATTTAGTACAGGGAAAGTTGAGCGGGGAGGGTCTGGGGGGGTTTCATCCTTGCTCCCCTCGTGTGCCTGGCCGGGCTCTGCTCACCACCCGCGGTGCTGGCCAGTGCAAGCTCTGCCTGGGACTGCCCCACGCCGCACCCATGACCCATGCTTTCGCTGCCGGCTACTCCTCTTCCCACACACACCGAATCGGCAACGTCAAGCTGACGCAGTGCATGTGGGAACACTGTCCCTTCCCCAGCCGTTCAGCAGCCATTAGGAAGCTATTGAGGGACTGAGGGACAAGGGGTGGGAATGAAAGTAAACAGCATGTACTTTCGTTTCCCATCGCAGAACGGCAGGCCACAGAAAATGGCCTGGTGGGTTGCATGGCGGCCTGCAGGCCGTATGTTGGACAAGCCTGGTCTATATGAACAATAGCTCAATAAAATATTAGGTGCTCAAAGGTTTGCATATGAAATAGAAGTTACTGTAGTGCAAAACAGTCTACACTTGGTGAACGTGTATAGCACTGGTTTGTTTGTTTTTTTTAATAATTAATTTTTAAAAATAAGTCTCATAAAAGGCAGTCTCCGATATTGAATAACTATAATAAAAAAAACACAACAAATAATGATCAAAGGCATAACAAGAAACCTTTTCTAATACTTAACACATTACATAGTTTTACTACATTTTATACTCACCGCTTCTACAGAGTTACACTCACGCCTTGTTTCCAGGTATCTTAGTGCTCTTTTCTCTTCTTCTTTTAGTTTAGCATCTGCCTGTGCAGAAGCAGAACACCAATCATTTTAAGAGCTAACAATAACAGAGCAGTTGTCATCATATGTTTTACTTACATATTTCATATAATTCTGTACACCATTTTGCTGCAAATAAGAAGGAGCTTGTGTTCTATAAAATCTCTCTGTTGAATCCAAATATGCTTTCTCAAAGTTATCCCGGTAAATCTGAAGTTTATCTTCAGGATTAGAACAAAGGTTAACTGCAAAGAGAAAAAGGTACATCTTGCGTCACTTTTAATACAGCTTAAAAAAACTCCATTATTTTTGTTGATAAAGCACTTTTAAACCAAACAATCTGCTAGTGTCCCGAGAACCTGAATCTAAACCAGAGAAGTCTGATGTTTAGGCACCACTGCAAAATAAAATTTGTCTAGCCAGAGACTGATTGGAGCTGCACACACTTCTCCTAAATCTAAGATATGGCAAATGCAAAATGTAGCAAACAGAATTATTACAGGATTTATTTTTTTTTTTAATTGCAGCATGAAAACATATTGTCATTATGAATGCTCAGCCTAACCTCTAAGTTCCTAGAGATGATGCAAGGCTGTTCGTCTGATTCCTAACCACCCTTTGGTTCTGTACTGTTCTTATCTAGATTAGTAATAACACACACATTAGAGATAGATACCCAGATCATTATCTGTCAAAAGAAATTGGACAGTTAGCAGTCCTTTGTGCCTTTAACCATCTTTCCCCTTCATCTTAACTGTTCCCAAAGAAAGATCAGAGTGAACTAAATCCTAGGGCTGTGAGAAATTTCGCCAGCTATTTCAATTCAACACTGTTTCGACTCATTTAAAGCTCAAAACAGCAAAATCGAATCAAAACAAAGGGCTTTGAAAACAGCCTCGAAACAAAACAAGGCTAGTTGAAACGTTTTGAAAGTTTCGAAGCAGCCAAGCAGTGGGAGACAGTGGAGAACCAGGGCTGTGCTCCCAGCAGCAGCTGGAAGCGCAGCCCTGGCTCTCCCACCTCCTGCAGCCAGGCTGCAGGAAACCAATCGCAGCACAGGGGAAGGGAACTGAGCCCGGGCTCAGTTCCCCTCCCCAGTGCTAGATCAGGCTGTGGATACCATCATGGGAGAGATGATTTTAAAATCATTGGTTTTCAAATTTCCTCAAGTCACAAGAAGTTAAATTTTCTAAAAGTCAGTTTCCTTTTATATCACTTCTTCTACCATGGAACCCTTACCCCCAGCTCCAACTGGCAGAGCCCATTAACCTGACCTGGCAATGGCTGCATACCGTCTCCAGGCCTGCTCTGCCATTACTCTCCAATCTCTCTGTGGAACCCCTAATGACCTGCTGTAGAACTGTGAGATTCAGCAGAATGCACTTTGGAAACTTCCATTTCAAACCATGTTTATAACCGGTCCTTCATAAGCCATTTAGTAGGCCACTGGTTGCAAAAGTTTAGCCTTCAACCTTTCCTTATCAGTTTAGAAGTCCCTGTATACAGAAGTGTTGAAAAAAGAAAGGGGGCAAAAGCTATGATATTAGTATCCCACTTAGAGGAAAGTCCTAAGTTTGCAGAGCTATTCCAACTGTATGCAAATTCAGGAAGACAGAGCTGTTAGAGGCACTTTTAAATGGTTCTCTGTGCAACAAGGGTTATGTTTTTTTTAATGCAAGCATCAAATTTACAGTAACTGATGGATAAGCTATTCACTTGCCAGTGAAAGTTTTTCACTAGTCACTGCAAATGCATTTGAGTTTTTTTTTGTACTGATAATCAACAACACTGATGCTCCCCACCCCACCCCTGGTCAACAAAGATGCCTCTGCTACCCGTTACATATATTATGCAATTAACTGTTTAATCATGCAATAAATTTAGACCATCAGATGTGCAGAAGTAATTATCACATGATAAAAATTACTATCCAACTATGAAAAGAGCCAACCAGCTATAAAATTAGTGGTTGAAAACGGGCAACAACTCTGTAGCTGGTTTCTGTCCAGCTTTATTTGAACGTGTAGCAGAGCCCAACAGTACATTAAACAGGAGCAGCTGAGATCACTCTGTATGAGACATACCGTATGATTCTCTAACTCCAATAACCAGTTGAGAGTCAAAAGCTTCGCCTAGTCTTTCAGCATGGACCAACTTCATTGCACTGTCCTGAAGCCTATTCTTTATATTTGAGAATATGGACTCATTCCATGTATCTAGCATGAGCTACATAAAAAGAAAGGGAAAAAAAATCAAATCAGAAAGGGATGCATAGAATTTCAAACTGAATATGAGCAATTGTTACACTAAATGCAAAGATATTAGGAACAGAAATTAAGCAATTTCTTTAGAATCTATTTTTTAATTGATGCCCATTAGCTTTACTATCTGAAGGGCTTGATTCTGCTTCCATTGAAGTAAAAGGCAATGATCCAGGTGTTAACTTATTATTGCATCTACCTAGTGTGTTTCTTTAACCCTTGACTATCAATCTCAATTGATACGTTTCCAGGAGCAGACTGCAGAAAGACTCCCAAAACAAAGGGGTTAATTGAGGAGCAAAAATCTTAAATGGGGTCCAGCACCTGGCAGATTCAAAGCCTTAACACGGGAACATTTAGATGATAGAATCTTTCAAGCGAGTCAGAATTAAAGAGTTGCTTATTTCCTAATGTTTCATAAACAACTTAATGTCCATTGCCATGTGAACAATCACCGCTTTTTGTGAGAATATAAAACTCTTCTATTAATAAGTTACCTAGATACTACATACAGTGTGTCGTGTCCTATTAAACTAACACTCAGAGTATGAGAGTTATTATACACTTCATTGGATGGCTTTCCTTTTATTTGATTCTGGGTAAGCACCAATTCCTCCATATAAATTTTTCCATAATAACATCAGATCCAACCTGCTACAGGTGAACCACAATGAATGTTTATTGGTGGCAGTCATTTTTGTACACAGCCAATTGCTGTTATTCAATAATATATAAATTACATTGCACTTACGTAAAGGGCATCTTATGTTTAAACCCAATTTAGTAAGAAACTATTCCCCCTTTAAAAAATCCATTTTTTTTCTGTCCCCTCCTCCCCACTATTCCAGACAGAATGCCTGAAAATTGACATTTTAAATTCCTGACTTGGTTCTTTACCATTTTATACCCTTCTCAAGGCATCTCTTAATCACTTTTTAAAAAACTTCTAGTACCCCAAGCTTGATTTTAATCATTATGAATTAAAGTTTTTAAGTACATCAAGTGCTTATTGGTTCACTAATCAACTTCCTCTGAGAGCAAAGCTGAAAGTGAACAACCTCATCTATCACACCACAATTGTGATAATGCTCTTCACAGGCCTTTTTAAAAAAAAAAAAAAGAGGAAAAAAAATAAAATCCCATATTATAGACCTTTCTGTATATTAGGGAACTAACTATAATGAATCTCTGATTTGTGTTTAGAAAAGTTAAGATAGGGAAAATAGCTTCAGTCCCTCCATGACAGTCCTGTGTGAACAAATTCTTAAATTTCATTTTTTGACATTGCAATCAGAAGCTGCAGGAAGTGAATTATTGTTTAAAATATTCCACAATTTTGGACTGTCATTAAAACCAAGTTTCTTCAGTTAATCTCTCCTTTTGTATTTAAAAACACAAAGATGTAAAGGAAACATGCATATTAAAGTTGAGATTAAATTTTTAAAGGAATTCAGAGCAGACAGCTGAAATATTTTTGATATTTAATGGCCCATGCAATCACTGAGACTACACTCAACACTATGGCATTTACCCCTCGACTGCCTAGAGGGGTATTATTCCCTCTGGTATGAAACTGCAGGAGCTCATCGTATTAAATTTAAGCTGTAAAATATATGGGTTTTACACACTGCTGCAATTCAAAATCTAAAAAAAAAGAAGAAAGCAAGCACTACCCCCTGTACCCTCCTCTCCCCTCTGCCTGCAAAGAAATCAGTCTGCCAGTTCACAGTTAAGTAACAGTAATCTTGGCTCAAGAAATGTATTGATAATAGAGAAGAAAAAGAAAATAAACATTTCTTCTAAGGCAGGTGAGATCAACCTTTTACCCCCAGTGGGCCAGGTGGGCAGCACCCCATCCATCCACAGCTCAGATCCCACCAGTGGTCCCAATCTGGCACTAGCACCACTGTGGTAGGCACTATCCGGCCATGCGGAGGGTGGGGTGCGGGGCAGTCCAGCTTCACTCTGGACCCATGGG